CTTTCGTCACCAATCTCACCACAGAAATGTGGCTTCCCTGAAATTCACCTCTGCCCCGTGACCCAAGGTCACTCGTGGAGGTGCGGTATAGTGGCTAATGTATCGAGATTATATTATGCACTACCACGGCCCGAGTTCCGTTAGGGATAGTGATAAAACCTTGACAAGGTTGAAACTGCAGTCCACCCTAGATGAGGATGCCCTCTTGGAAGCAAAGCTATGTGAAATTCAGTGGAAACATGAGGCTTGCTCATATTATAAGAAAATCCTGATTATATCCCTTCATTATCTTAAACAAAGTAGGGTGAATATATCTCTTATATGAATATTGTTTTACTGTGTGATATTTGTTTAATTGAGTCGTGTGACGCCTCCAATGCTAAAAATCGAATCATATTTTATCATGAACAATCCAAACTTATGAAGAGTAAAATTATGTTTACCAAGGTTTGGTTGCGTTCTATTTTAGGTGTATATATTTAGTTTGACCTGGTTATTGTAACTTGGCCGCAGCTACGGGGAGGCCTTGTAGAACGTATCCAGTCCTGCATCCTCTTCTACACTAGGTATGATATTTCCAGCATTTGGCCTTTGATTTGGTGCGGGTTCAAACATTTCGCATGCCTCGTCGTCTTCAGTGAGAAGTGCCGCTCTTGGCATCTATCAACAGTTGTGCTTATAGATAAGACAGTTTATGCTGAAAAAATGATGCAAGCTCTGCTCGATTTTGATCGGTTTAGAATCATAACCAGGGATCCTACATAAAAACTGAAGTTGAGACGTTAATGTTGCCTACATCAGTGCGTTAATATTCGATAACTAAGGAAGTGGAAAATGGGCGCATTTTTTCAACGCGATGCTAGGCCTCTGAATGTATATGGTCTATCCAAGTTAATACTTGAGAATTTTACAAGAATGATTCTCAGCTCTGATGATGTCCATCCCATGATGGACTAGAGCTCAGCCCGTTTTCCTTTGAAAAGAGAAAGACGTATCGCGGACTGCGTCTCAACGTCGTATAAGAGCCAAACGGCTGCAGTACAACGGGACTCAACCGTCCTCTGCATTTTCTCACAATGATACGAGTAGGCCCCAAACTTCCTTTGGATTTCACATAGCCTTGCTTCCTAAAAGGTATTCTCATCCCAGGTGAACGGCAATTTCGACCTCATCTAAGCCTCATCAGCACCCTCAGTTAGTCTCGAACCCGGGTAATGAAGCGTATAGTCTAGACACGTTGGAGTCCTGCTGGGAGGATCGGGAGGCTTGTTCGGAGCTTCAGTCCAGCCTGGATTAATATACCATTTGAGAGGCAATGGGCACGATGTGGAAAAATTTAACTACCAGTCCCTCATCACTTTACATCAAATAGAGTAAGCATAGTTCTTGTTCCGGATATACTGTTAGTCCCAAAGCTCTATTTAAAAAGAAAATAAGTTGTGATAGGTGCTATGCCAAGACGGACGTAAAATAAGCATGCTCATGTCTGGCTTCTTCCAGGAGAATGGGATAGCAATAAGAAATCAAGTTCAACTCTTCTTGTTCTCCTATGCCTGTTTTTCATAGATAGGACTGCAATACGGTTTGTAAAGGCTTCAGGGTGTACTTCTTCGTTTTTTTAGTTTTGCTTTCGATTTAAGGAACTATCATGCATAGATATAATTATTGTAGCGGTTTCAGCGAAGCAAAATTTATGGAAGTATGACTTTATTAAAAAATCTCAATATGCAACAACAATATGAAATGCTCCGAATTTACCCTCCATAACCTAATCGCTAATAGCATAATTTGGTACAGGAATTTAAATCACTTTTTACTTAGGGCCTCTAGTGACATTTGTTATAAGAACGAAACCTATTGCTGACAGCAATGGTGACACGAAATATTAAGTTCGTTTATATTGAGGCGGTTCACTTGACAGGAGCATTTGAGGCAACAAGATTATTAGTTATACCTTTCTTTGACACCAAAAATTCATGAAATGCCAGGTCATTCTGATTCTCTGAGACCAAAAGTAACGAGTACATGAACGATGATATGAGTATTATTTTAGGAGCGTAATTGAGACCAGAGAAGAGGAAAATTGAGAGCACTCATCAGACCAGCTAAGTCAGGACGCCTTTTGTTGTAGTTGACTGAATTCTCGCAGATTGCAAGATCGAAAAATATTAGAATTACAATTTAACAATTCAGCCGCAATAGTTACCTTTGACCACATTCATCTATTTAAACAACATTCACAGCGCTAAATAACTCGCAATTTCTATCTGTGAACACAATTTTTATTCCTATTTCCACGTTAAGTATACATTTTTACGTATTTTGTCGTTAAGTTTATCATTTACCTATAATTTACTTTCCCTCATCCCGTTGCTTTCTGCCCAGGTCCAGTCCATCTCCTCATCTCTTGAATGAGGTGCTCCCTCAGCTTGATTCTGATGTTGTGGAGGCTTTGCGCCCTGTGGTTGGAATGAGCAGTGTGGAGGGCGATGCTACAGCATTGTCAGAGCGCGAAATCGAGGTGGCCTGTGTGAAGGCCACTGAGGCGCAGTTTGAACGCCGCGTAGTCTGTGGCCTTGGCGTGGCTCGCCAGGTGGGCAATATGTATACTGCTTCACTTTATGCCAATCTGGCTTGCCTAATTTCCAGGTAACTTCATTTTTCTTTTATTTTTTACTCCATTTATATTAAAGTTTAATTTTTTTCATATTTGTTGCTACATTTATTCACTATCCTTACTTCTGAATGAAGCTTAATTGTATGCAGTTCTAGCCACATTCTTAACTCCTTATCTCCATGTTCAGTCGATTGTAAATGTTCCTGCTTACATCTTAGCTTTGAACTCATTAATTCGCGTATACATTAATTCGTTATGGCTAAATTTTGCTACTTCATTTTTATCTGCTTTATTTAAAAAATATAGATACGTTCTTTCTCGTGGTCCTCCCAATATGTATATGAATCATATATCGTTCTATATTTTGGGAATATTTCCTTACTGCTAGAAAATGCAAAGAGCCGACTAGTAGAGCCGATTTAATATGCAGTTGTATGATTTTACTCATTGAACTTTTTTAAGGCTTTGATTTTGTCAGCGCATTTAAATGAACCATTTATTTTAAGGTATTTGCTCATCCAGTGTGGGCTACAGTTTAGATTCCGCCTTAGGTCTCGCAGTGTATCTGTATTACTTTGTTTGCATTCATAAACAACTTTTCTCACTCAACTTCTTGCCCCTCAAGCCAACGATTGACAATTAATTTATGACTAATGAACATAAGCTGGCCCCTCTTCATCAATATTACTTTATGGCGAAGAATTAATACCAAAAATCCTGACTTGTTACCATATTTGCTATTGAAGATGTAGAGTACAATTGTAGCTATCAGCTTGGAGTAACCACCTAGTCTTCTTCCACCGAAAAACCTAGTTTTTTAAAATCAGTACTTGTTTAGTAGTAACTTGTTTGTTTTTGAATGTGCACAATCCTGTCTTCTCTTTCTTCAGGATGCTAGGCGGACTTTGATGTCTGCAATAATTCGTTTGCATTAATTGTTTTTATGCCTCTGTACTCATTCTGACCATTTGTCCATCCCTCAAATTTGTATACATTTACTAGTGTAACATATGTGCTCACTTACTTTTAGAAGCACTACAATGACCTTTGCATAAATATGTGAAGTATTCGCTTAGTTTTGAGATCGCCAATTGTGATAAGTAGACCGCTGGGAATGCTTTGTCAATCAATAATTAATCAAAATTTAATTATTATATGACATGCTGGGACAGAGACAAATGAATCAGATGGATTCACATATTTATTCTGTACTCTGCCATAAAATATGATTATAAATCATATTTTTTAGTTTGTTGTTCATTCTTCAGTCCGTTTCCATGGTTTTTTATCGTTTGAGGCTGTTTCTTTTGCCTACTTATTACTAATGATAAATTAACTATTTTAGAGCCCAATAAGACATTTGCTATATCCTCCTATCATACCCTCACTGTCACAATTTTTACCGTGCCTATTTAGATGTAGTATGGTGTGTTCCTTTGTGCGGCGGTCATGAAAACCCTTCACACTCCACACTGTCGTAATCACCCCTTTCACTCTTGTGCTGGGAATGTTGACCATAGTCTGCCATATTGTTACGTAGCCATCCTTCCCTGGGTCCTATCAGAGTCTCCCTCTTGCCTCGTAGAATCCAACTGCTATCTGCCTGTATTACACTCGACCCCTGCCCCCCCTTATCTGTGCTACTCGAGGCGTAATTCGCCCATCTCCTGCACCTGGGTGACTTATTCGAGGCTAAAGCCTCTGAATAAGTCTCATGGTCACGTCTTTGCTACATCGACCACGTCTCTGGTAAAACTGTCAGCCAACTAGCTCCAGTCTCCGCCGCGTCTACCCTGTTTCTATCTCTAATGCCAAGTCTATGACTTACCATGCCCTAGTCTCTTGTGTGCCAACCCACAAATGTTGTACTGCTTGCTTTGATTAGGTTTAATGTTGAACTTGCCCAAATTGTCCGTGTACACATTTGCCAAAAGAGATGAGAGTGGAGATCCCATCGGTATTCCAAATATTTGCTCGTAGACACTGCCTTTAAGTGTGGTTCTTACTGTGGTCTTCACTGTCAGGTTAATCAGTCGTGTTAACGATTCTTTCCGTATCCGTTCTGCCTTTAGGATGTCCTCTTCTCGCTCCAATATCTCCAGCAACTTACCACCTTCTCGCATGAGATGTTTGTGTACATGGATTGTACATGTGAACTCACCAACAGATCCGACCCCACTAATCCAATGTTCTGGATCCTTTCGAGAAAATTCATATGAATTCTTAACGGTATTCAGGAGTCTGTCATTTACTTTCCTGAGATTCAAGCAAATGAATTTCTGCTAGTTTGTGTATTACTCCATGCTTGTTGTTGACTATTAGTCTTAGCGGATTTCCTTCCTTGTGTATCT